GGCTTGTTTCTAATTTGAACTAATAAAATAATAATAATAATAATAATAATAATAATAATAATAATAATAATAATAAATCCAAACCCTAGGAGTCCTTGACTTAGGTGGTATTAAGGGGACAATATGAAGTGTTAGTCAGAAGGCGATATCCTTGACAGAAACGCAGATGATTCCCTTGTGTGTCTAGGCTGAGTGAGTATTTCTCTATGTGGAATGGGCTTTAAAATCCATTAATTCACTAGGGATAAAGGCTGATCCACTACCAGGGGCCCCTTAGACTGCCCAGGCCTCCTAACTGACACCCACATTTCAGGACAGGCCCCATGTGCTATATGGTTCAGTCATTCCCAGTCACTGTGAAGAACCACCCTGCCCCTGGTCCTTGCTTTCAGTGCATCCATGACCCTGTGTCTCCAGGGGAGGAGGCAGCCTTGCTGTGATAGGTACAAATCCTGCTATACTCTTCTTTTTCCCAACAGATCCATAGCTCAACCCTACCAGACAGAATTTGTCATGTGAACCTGAACGTAATAATAATATTAAGCAAAATAAAATCTAGCAGTCCCAATCAAAACCTATTGTTTACTAAGTATTCAACATACCACTTCAGGCTGAAATAGAGGAACTGAGATTGTATGGGCTCAGTTTCCTTTGGTGAGGTGTGTGCCTGCTCTTGGTGTGCCCATCTGAACTTGGAAAATTTTGGGATAAGACCATAAGAGACTGCAGCACTGACCCTTGAATCTCCTAAAGAGATGGGACACTTACAGCACTCTCTCCTCACAGTATGGCCTGGTTTGTCTCCACACAAATTATTTGTAAATTGATGAATTTAAGGGAGTGTTACATATGTCACTCTTGGGATCTATGCATAGGGACAGCTAGCCATGCCTCTTCCTCTTCGTCCCTCTGTCTCTCTCTCTCTCTCCCTCTCTCTCTCTCTCATGTTCTCTTTCATAATTCTCTCTCTCTATGTGTCTGTCTGTCTGTCTGACTGTCTGTCTGTCTGTCTGTCTTTCTGTCTCTCTCTCTCTCTCTCACACACACTGTCTCTCTCTCTCTCTCTCACACACACACACAGAGAGAAAGAGAGAGAGAGAGAGAGAGAGAGAGAGAGAGACAGACAGACAGACAGACAGACAAACAGACAGACAGACTTCACTATTCATCGAGAGCCACGACAGGTCGCTGCCCCAAACCTTGGTCCTACATTTCCTACATGATATGAGGAAGAAAAGAGAAGGATGACAATCTCCATCAGAAGCCTGTGCTCCTACATGAACTAGACAAAAAGAGAAAATTCTTGTTCTAATGTGGGGAGAAACATCTGGGACATTTTAGCTACAAGACACAAGTTCTCGGTATTAACAGAAACCATTTCTCATTTCACAGAAACTCTAAGGCAGTTTCTCCGCAACCACCCCTCAGTGGTCCCTGGGTCCTCAGAACAGTTCAGGACAAGGCTCAGATATCATAAGAGATGGGAGGTCTAAGTGTGACAAGGGAACAAACACTCAGCAAAAACCCATTGAGGAAATCATCCTAGACTGAGCACCTGAATCTGCACAACCTCGGCTGAGCTGACCAGAGACACCTAACTCAGACACCGCTGCAGCTGCTTAGTGCAAAGACCCATGGTTCAATGTCCTGTATTGTCAATTTATACTGCTCTGAATTTACCGGTTTCACTGTGCTGTTGAAGAATCCAATAAGAACTCCTCGTGGGAACAAGGGGTGTCTATGATACTTTTACTGGATTTTATAAACAAACTTTATATGCCATGTTTTTTAAATGTTAATGGGAGACCAGCCATTTCCCAAACAAAACTGAAGATTGAGTGGATTAGTGTGTGGGAATTTTAGGTAGGAAATACTGACATGGAGGGAAGGAAGGAGGGAGAACCTGCAGCTGGAATGTAAATTAAAAAAAATTAAATGTATTTTTAAAAAGAATAGCAAAGGGCGCCTAGCTACAGCAGCATAAGATTCATCCCAGATTTCATGAGTTTATATAATGAGATTGATGAGTAATTACAGTAAATGAGAAAGTAGAATTCAGAAGAAACTCTCAGATCTCTTAAGGACAAGCACATCCTAATTACCTTCTTCTGCTCCCAGGACCAGTTCACATTATCAGTTCATCTTAGAGCATGCCCAAACCCAAGTCAGTTGAATAAAGAGAATTCAAAATTACAGCACTGGAAACATAGGCTGCATGATTTATCCAGGGTAGGCAGGGGCCCTGAGTAGACATTTACTTATCTTGGGGACATTTAGGTACCTTGGGGCAATTTTGACCTTTCCTAACCACTGTACTTCTTTGTCCACAGCCACAGCCTCAGAGAACAAGGATTACACAGTGGAGAATCTCATCAGGATGGGGATGGCTGCCCTGGTCCTCATTTTCCTTGGGATTCTGGTCTTTGAGCCTTGGGGCAGCCAGACTGAGGCCCACCATGCAGCTGAGAAGCAGTCAGAATAGAAATAAATATATCATTCAGGGTTCCAGAGTCTGGGAAATCAATCTTATGATCCAACTTTCTGTAAGGTTTCCAGTTCTTACACTGAGGAACTGGTATAAGGAGAATGTCCAGGGAGCAATTGTGATTTGTTACAGAGGAAGGTGTGAGTGCTGTGATGAGATCCTTCGTCAGGAAATGAATTTACATCCTTCCACCTACTGTGGGCATTTGCTGATGAAACAACTCTTTTCTGGGTCTATAATGTGAGGATTATGCTACCCAGTATATCAGCCTGGGTCCTCATTTCTGTACATTTTTCTTCCCCTCTCTCTGATGTGTCATTTTCCATTTTCATATATTACCACATTCTCTATAGTGGAGCCTCTATCTGTTGTCTGGAAACAAAGAAGATGAATGAAAACCAAAATGATGACTAAAGTCAGAGCCAAGAATTTAGTCCATCTGTCTATGATTTTCCAAAGCAATTTCTGTGTACATTTAATTTTTCAGTCTACAAGTATTATTCATGGAGTTTCTCTTAAAATATAAAGTCAATCTTACCACATGGTGGATAAGGACTATCTGTCCAGGGAGGGTAGATAGAACTTTAAATTTTTTTCTCAATACAGAATCCTTCTGTGGGTGGCACATTCTGACCACTCTATATAACCCCATCAAACACACCTTCACAACAGCAACGTGACATCACAGATGTGAGGGAGGGAGTGTTGCAGGAAATTGCAGTGTTTTTCCATTTCTTTCTCTGCTGTCTAATTTGCACATGTGCAAAAGAACTTGGCATGCTGATCAATTGTAGTGGCCTGGCATGCCTCAGTCCCAAACCACAGAGGCCCTGAGGTCTGGCCTGAGTGGGGGAGGGTGTGAAGGGACCAGCTCCCCATTTTGGCAGCCATAACAGCCTAGTGCGTGCTTACCTGACCTTGCCTTGGTCACTAGGAGGTCAGATGCCTGCCTCATGGCAAGAAACCAATCAGAAATTAGCTGGTAGTGCTATGCTTTAAGGCTCTGGGTTTGCTTTATGGACAAGTGCAAAGCAATGATGTGCAGAACATAGCAACCACCCTGGGAGGGCCTATGGGCCATAGCAACCATTTGACCAATCAACACAGGGAAAACCCTCCAAGCCTGGAGGCACACCAATCCTGAGCCTGTGCGTACCCCTAGACACTCCCCTTATGCTGCCCTATAAGATCTCTATGCAGATTGAGCATAGAAAGATGACTTGAGCCGTCTTTCTAGCCATCCACCATGGCTAGTGGATGAAAGGCCCAAGCAAACATGGGGTTAGCTCATTAAACAACTACAATAAAGCCTCGTGTAGTTTGCATCAAGTTTCTGCCTCTGCATAGTGATTGTGGTGGCATCATTCCTGAGCTGAGATCCTGGGGGCCTGAGCTTCCGGGGGTCTTTCAGCTGGACTTGGAAATTCCTAGCAACCCATGGCAACAAAGACCAGACACAGCATCTTGTCATCTTCAGAGAGCTCTCAGTTCCCTCCTGCAAACCGGAGTCTCCCATTTGCTCCATCATCTTCCTCAACTGCTCTCTAACTGTTCTTTGGTGATAGCAGAGACTATCTTCCTGAACCTCTTCCTAGGCTCTATCAGCAGATACCTCAAAACAGTCTCTACTCATGTAGACCCAGCTCTCCACCCTGATCCAGGCCTATTCAAATGCTTAGTTCTATAGATGCAAAACTAGGGGACATTCTCCACTGAGGCTGTGCCTTTCAACAGCAAATCAGCTAGCATCGGCAATATAATGTAACCTAGCATTCGCTGATACTGGAACCAGAGGTCTGGACCCTGAGGATTTCTCTAATAGCATAACTTTTGGATCCCGGCAATCAATAATCCTAGAATCACCTTGCTAGGATGACTTATCATATAATGATTCAAAATTTCTACATAGACCATCATGTTATCTTAAAACAATTACATCTTATTCATTTTATTCTATCTCACTTTTTTGTCTATACTGGAAATGTACCTTTACTTCTGTTTATGCATTAGCTAAGTGTTTAAGTACAAAGCTAAAGACCGTCTCCTTCTTCAGGATTTAATGCAAAATTTCTGCTTTGTCACCATTCCCTAAGATGCCAATTACGGTGTTTTGGTCCATGAACTTATTGTGACACTGGAGGTCCTCTGTTCTTAATTTCCTATGAGAGTCCTTGTTGAATGACTGTGGGACATGAATAAAGGCTGACTCTTTATCAAAAATTATCTCCATTACGTATGTTTTTCATTATAACCTTGTTTTTTTTTTTCCGAGACAGGGTTTCTCTGTGGCTTTGGAGGCTGTCCTGGGACTAGCTCTCGTAGACTCGAACTCACAGAGATCCGCCTGCCTCTGCCTCCCGAGTGCTAGGATTAAAGGTGTGTGCCACCAATGCCTGGCGTAACCTTGTTTTCTACCATCAGTACCACATGGTTTTTAATGTTGAAAGGGATTTACATGACTGATAAATTCTATTTTTAAGGAGGTGTTCTTTTCATTTTATACTAGGTTCTCATGGCTAACAACAGGATATAGTCTGAAGAATTACATTACATAGCAGTAAGAGAATTTTCTCCCCTGAGCTTAGTCCTGAGAGTATTCAGACAGGATGTGGAGTGTCATATCAGGAACTGTGAACCCTGATGAAAAATAGAAGGAACAGGGGGAAAAACACATTGGGATGGTTTGAAGCAGAGAGGGAATTAAGAGAGTCTTCCTGACAGGGCAAGATTTCCTGAGCAAATTGGGAGCAAATTATGGAGGGGAGAGGGAGGAGGAGGAGGAGGGGAGGATAGTAGGGGGAGGAGAACAGGAGAGATCAGGAAGCTTGAGTCAGGGGGGGTAAAATAGAGTAGAGCAAGAAAAGAGATACCTTAATAGAGAGAGCCATTACAGGTCTAAAGAGAAATCTGGCACTAGGGAAATGTCTAGGGATCCACAAGGATGATCCCCACAAGAATCTAAGCAATAGTGGAGAGGCTACCTTAAATGCCCTTGCTCTATAATGAGACTGATGACTACTTTAAATGCTATACTAGAGCCTTTATCCAGTAGCGGATGGAAGCAGAACTCTATTTAAACTAATATAATTGTTATCTATGGGCAATACAGCTTAGGAAGAAAACGTCTTCATAATAATCCACAGGTAAAAATGCCCAGTAGAAAGGGCTATTTCCATGAGATAAACACATCAGAGACAGTGGGAATCTCCCCCACACTAATTCACACCATGTCAGGTACCACAGAAAGATGATAGCAGCAAACATGTAAAGGCATAGCAGATGAAAAAGACTTCCTGGAGTCTGTGGTCTCAGAGCCTCGTATCGATCTCCAAAATCACCCATCAGAGACTTGTCTCCTGGTTGGCTGGCACCTTGAACTTCAATTGCCACCAGCTGATCCTCTAACAAGACTAATGGCCATGGCTGCGTTCAAGGCATCAGGGTGCCATTATTTAAAGAAAGGTTTGTGCTTCCTCATCTGATGCCAGAAGCTCCAGGACATCACTGTGTTCTTTTTAAACTTGTGGTTCCTCCTCTATTGTCCATAAACATTTAGATAAGGATCACAAGGCCTGTAGGGAATAGTCACCTTGATGGCCTGGTATATAAATCCTGGGAAGTCAGGCTCCAGGACAGCTTCTGTTTCCTTTCTCTGGTCAGGATGAAAGTGTCTTGTCACTGTTGTGAGATACAGTGGAGGGTCACATTCATTCTTGAGGTCACAGCAAAGCTGGATGGGCTTGATGTGTTGTGTTTACTGTGGTGGACTCCTGAGAAGAAAGGAGATCCTGTGTTAAATGGGCACTCACCTCATACATTGGAAACCAGGATTGGGCTCTCATAGTGGACACTCCTTATAGACAACCACTTCTCTGAAGGCAAATCCTGGGAGTGGGAACCATGGTTGTTCTGTGACCTGTCCCCACCAGATCAAGGGAATCAGTGAGTACAGAAATGCTAGCAGTCATCTGATAGTCACAGAGGGAGCTGCCTAAAGTTTGCCATTCAGTGATTTGAATGGGCCTTCAGAATTGCAGTTCCAGTAGGGTCTATCTATATCACATACCTGGGCTTCCATCTTTACAGAGACAGTAATCATGGGATCTGTTGTCCCCTCACAAAGAATGTCACTCCAGTCCCCTAGGGACTAACTGAGCTTGCCTGAGTCCTGAGGATGGGTTGGGGAGGGTCCCTAACCTGCCCTTTACTGAAGGAACTGGAGGCATCACTAGGATCCTATCATAAGGGCTGTGCACCGTAGATACAGACCAGGAGTGGATCCTTGTCAACAGTTAGAAAAGAGAAACCCGGAAGAGCTAAACATCCAATAATTCATCAATACAGGGGTCCTGGAGTGTAGACTAATCCTAGAATACAGTGCTCATATGAGAGGTTTTCCCCCTAGCAATGTCCCTGGATTTTGTGAACTGATCTCATGAAATGAAACTGTTTAATTACCCTGTGACCAGGCAGCTTGTAGCAGTTCTCTTCAGCAGAACACAACCTGCATAGATAGTTAACAAACTCAGCCGTTTAACAGGGAAAAAACAGGGTTGCAAGAATCCTGCTGTGTTCCCTGTGAATCTGTCCATGATACTGGGCTCTCAGGAAAGCCCCTGCACACTCATTGATATCAAATTCACTGGGAGCACCACAGTTGTAGGAAATCAGGGGTTAAGCATGTTGCCAAGGTAACAAGTTCCAATTCAGGCTGCAGCCATAACAGCTCAGAATTCATGGAGAATGAAGAAAAGGTGTCTGGGAGGAAATGGAAGATGATACAACGCAATGGTTGATCTGAGGACAAACCATGACAGACTCTTCATCAGGAACCCATATCAAGTCCAACACAAAGCTCTGTTAACATGTGCTCAGCCTCATATTATTTAAAAAATCAATCCAATTAAATACACCTTGGAGCTGGAAGACCTCAGTAGCTTTCCAGTATCTTATCAGGTTAATCTATTTGATAAAATAATTCCATGAAAATTGTATGA